ACTCAACGGTTTAAAATCTCTATTATCGAAGTACAAAGGCAAACTAAACGAATTAATCTAAACGCTGAGTAGAACATTTTTCAAATATTGTGGATTGTTTTAGTTTCACTGGATTTAATTTTCACTGAACATCACAAATTGGGTTACATGTTTTAATATTAACGGACTTGTAAACTACCTGATTTCCAAAAAGCCATTGATGTTCGGAAGGAGTCAATTTTTGTATTATTAATATTGGACGATAGTATCCATTTAATTCTCATTTGTAAATGCATATTTATTAATTAATTGGGCAGGAAAAATTTGGAGCAAAGGCTCAACAGTGAGTGAGAGATTGTTTTTACTTAAAAATGTAATAAGCATCAACATACTTTCAAATACCAATGTCTATTTACACTACAAGCCAAATTAATATTAAATGACTTTTCAAATACAAGTACCAATAGACCTACTGTAATAAGCATGGGACACATCTTCAGTGAAAGTAGAAACATAAATTTCAACTGTGAATTGTTTGTTCTGACGATTATGAATTTTGAGTTTAGTTCTGAGAAGTGGTTTACAAATAAAAACATGGCTGTTTGTGCTTCTGCAACAATTTCGCCTGTCCTCATGCTATAACTCATTGCAAGAGTTACTCTGATTGGTTAACACATATTGCCTGTGATCCAATCAGAGAAATGCATTTCCTGGGACAATCTAGATTGGCACGTTTTTCCACTATGATGCTGTCAGCTGATAAAATATAAAAAGCAAAAAAATATTATTTCCTATCAGCAGTCTATTAGCATCAACCCCCTTTACGTAAATGAAACAGTCCGCCTGCATTATATGGTCTACCTTGTTGGGTCAAACCATTTTCTACAGAGGGGTGAGTGGGTGGGTTAAATTTTTGATCATATGCTTATGAAGTTTGAATATCAAACTGAAGTGATTTTTCAAATTTTGGCAAATATCCACATAAAAATACACCAATGCCTGCTTCGCTTAAAAAAGTGTTGTTTCTGTAATACCAATTAAAAGCACATACAACTTTATGAGTGTATTAATTTAGCCTGTACAAAAATACAATCAACATACTGTACAAAGTTTATTTGGATATCCATCATTTCTAGTCATGTCATCCCTCTGGCAATCATGGTATGGTCCGTTCCTTATTCAGTGTTGGAATATTCCATTCAAACACAGGTATGGCAGGTGTCTACAAAATCTTGTCTCTCAATTGCACATGGAGCCAGTTTAACAAATGAACATGATCATGGCATGGTCCTGTTACAGGAATATTCCATTTAATCATGGGGATGGTGAGCTCATGCTTTGAAATGATTACTAGTATCGTGTTCAAACGCCATTGGGTTGGCAGTGACATGTAATCCAGAGTCATTAGTCTCGCGAAGGCAGTAGCCAACCTCGTTGCTCCCTTCGTTAATCACCGGTGGGTGGTACGGTTTCTCACACTTCCGTCTGCCAGTTGAACCACGTGATGATGTATCACTCGATGACTGCGAGGGGAAATTTGGCTTATTATACGGTATTACTTCATCCGCAGGGTTTACCCCTTGCTGGTGCTGTTGGGAATGTCCTGTTTCTTGTCTCGCCTTCTGAGGTCGTTTGTGACTACTCCTTCTCTCGCTCAATTTTTCAGGTTTATCAGGCTTTTCCGGTTTAACTGGTTTAACAGGAGGCATGACTCGTTCTGTGCAAAAAAAAAAAAAAAAAGATCAAGCTTTCAGTGAATTTTGGAAATTATATTCATATAATTCATGCAAAAATACTAAATCAACAATTTATGTTTAAACATGGAATCTCAGACTCACTGTAGTAAAGTTATGCATGTTGCTGGCCCTTTGTTTTATCCACTC